GGGGGGGGGGGGGAGATGCAGGAAAGGACAGGTGGCCTCGCCTTGGGGAATTCCCCTCCCCTGCCTGTCTCCAGGGAAGCCTGTGTGGTCAGTGCGGGCGGGACCGAGTACGGGTGGACAGGGCAGGGCTGATCTGGTTAGCTGTCTGACAAGATGAGCTTTAAGAAGAATCTGGAAAGAGAAAGAGAAGCCAGAACAGGCAGGTGGGGGACATGAGGATATCGCCTCGGACAGCAAGGCCTAACGCCTCCGATCTCTCCCCCCGTGGCCTCGGTCACTGTCAGTCAACCTCCTGACCACGGTGGCCCTGGCCCGCCTTGCCGCCAGGACCAGGAAGCCGTCTTACTGCTACCTTCTGGCGCTCACGGCCTCGGACATCGTCACCCAGGTGGTCATCGTGTTCGTGGGCTTCCTCCTGCAGAGGGCAGTGCCGGTGCCCCGGGCGGTGGTGCACACGGCTCACATCCTCGAGTTCGCCGCCATCCACGCGTCAGTCTGGATCGCCGTCCTGCTCACGGCTGACCGGTACAGCGCCCTGTGCCACCCCCTGCACCATCGCGCGGCGTCCTCCCCAGGCCGGACCCGCCGCGACATTGCCATCGTCCTGGGTGCTGCCCTGCTCACTGGCATCCCCTTCTACTGGTGGCTGGATGTGTGGAGGGACCCGGACCCGCCCAGCACCCTGGACGAGGCCCTCAAGTGGGCTCACTGCCTCACGGTCTACTTCATCCCCTGCGGCGTCTTCCTGGTCACTAACTCAGCCATCGTCTGCCGCCTGCGGAGGAGGGGCCCGAGCGGGCTGCACACCCGGCTGGGCAAGAGCACGGCCATCCTCCTGGGGCTCACCACGCTCTTCACCTTCCTCTGGGCCCCCCGCATCTTTGTCATGCTCTACCACCTCTACGTGGCCCCCGTCCACCGGGACTGGAGGGTCCACCTGGCCTTGGACGTGGCCAACATGGTAGCCATGCTCCACACAGTCGTCAACTTTGGCCTCTACTGCTTTGTCAGCAAGACTTTCCGGGCCACCATCCGAGAGGTCATCCACGATGCCCACCTGCCCTGCATCCTGGGGTCACAGCCAGGGGGCACGGTGGTGGAGCCCGTGCTGAAGCCTCCAGGATTCCCCGAAGGGACAGAGTTGTAGAGGTGGGGCCCAGTCATCGAGCTTGAGGTGGCTCAGGGCCAGAGGTGCTGGGCCTTTGTGGTTGTGCCCACAAAACTTTGTCCATACCCTTTGCAACCTGAGGGCAGAGGGAGAGGCTCCCTCCTTCAGGTGTGCCCCCTCCAAGTAGAGGGAGGACAATTTATCCAACTCTGGCGTTGCTTTCCCAGAAATTCCTGTTTCCTGGGATAAGGACAGGACTCTGCCAGGCACAGGCTAATAATGGCAGCTGCCATGGGCATTCCTTTGTGAGGGACAGTTCACCTGGCACATTAGAAAGGCAAAATTAATGTTGGTTGAATGAATGAATGAACGAGTGAATGAGTGAATGAAAAGATAGATGAATGCTGGATGGATGGATGGATGGATGGATGGATGGATGGATGGATATGACTTGTTTCCAGCCCACCCTGTTTCCTGGGGCCCACCTCTCATTCCCTAAATCGGTCCCTCCTCTGGCGTCAGTGAAAGGAAAGGTGTCTCCAGGATTCCTGGGCTGGGGAACCAAGTGTGTGAGGCAGAGCCCCGGGAGGGGGTAGCATGGGGAAGGGGGTGGGCTTAAAGCAGATGCCCCAGCTCCAAGGAGACGCGACCCCTTGGGCTGCGGTCATTCTGCTTTGATTCCACTTAACTCCCTGCCCTGGAGCCAGGACAGGCTCAGGGACTGCAGGCTTCCTGGGGCTTCTGGCGTCATTGTTGCCAGGACTGTGTGAGAAGGAAATGCCCTCTCAGCCCAGGGCGGGGGAGGGGAGCGCAGGAAGGGAGGCCTCTCCCCGCCCAGAGCCCACTTCACCTAGAGAAAGGCCTCGCCTCGGGCACGGGGAGGGGGGAGATGGCTCCCTGATCTGAGACGGCCCCGCGCGGCTCAGTGCAGCCCCCCAGCCTCTCCAGCCCCTCTCCTGGAGCGGCAGCTGGGAGAGGCTAGCAGATGGACCTCCCACCTGCTCCGGGCGCTGGGTAAACACATTAGGCGCCTGCTTTCTGCTTCCCGGTCAGGCTGAGCTGACCTTTCCCCTGAGCCGCGGGAGGTGCAGGCCGAGCCCCCACCAGCACCCATCCCCTTAATGGGGTCACACAGGTGAAAGAGCCAGATGTGTGCTGGGCATACAGTCAGTGCCCAATAAATGCTTGTCCTCCCCTTTTCCTCTCTCCTACCCAGAGCAGGGCGTTCAGGAAGGGACTCTCAGCCACTCCCAGAAGGAGGAAAAGGCAGGTCCCCGATCCTTTACCCACAATTCTAAACTTCAAAACGCTCTGAAAACCAGAACATTATTCCTGACTTTGCCATTAACACGTTTAGTGGCAAAATCCATCCTGAACCAATGGGAGACGATGAACAGCTGACTGCGTGGTTCCAGGCCGCAGCCCCACACTTGCTAGAATCGAGACCTAACACCAAAATAGGCAGCACATGACCTTCTCTATTCTGAAAAATTCCGAATTCTGAGACAGCTGGCCCCAGGAGTTCAGAGGAAGGATCAGGGACCTGGAAGTCTCGCCATTCCTGCCACTCCGTGGTCTCGGCTGGCCCCGAGTGGATTGGGGGCATGGAGGTCCCCTGCAGGCACACGGGTGTGCCCGTGGGTGGAGTTGATGCACTAGGGCTTCATTCCTTTTGAAGGACTGAGGAGGAGGTGCAGGTGCAGGCACCCCTGAGGGAGAGGGGCCCTTGGAAGGTGAGATGATGTCCAGCCCCCAGCCTAGCCCCAGGGTCCAAGTCTGCCCTGCAGAAGGAGGCCCTGGGAGGAAAGGTGCCCTTCGGATGGAGAACCAAACAGAACACAGCTGGGGAGGGGCCTGCCTCCCACCCTGAGTAAAATCCACAGGGCCCTGAAGGAGAGACGCTCGTAATCAGGGAGGCACTGGGGAAGCTTCTGGAAACGTGGGGAGGCGGTGGAGGCAGGTGGAGCTTCCCGCAGGTGGGGGCTTTGAGCCACGAGGAGCCAGGTGTTAATATGAATGGCACCTCACCTGTTTCCTGAGTGTTGTAACGATTTTGTTGACCGTAGTCTTGGACTTAGCAGATTTGGGAACCAATAACATATTTTCCTAATAAGTTGCATTAGGAAGCGGTTCGTTTTTAACATTCTGGTAACCTCTGATGAAATGAAGAGATTGTCACTTTGATAAGTATATCACTGAAATGTAAATTAAAAGCATTATTAAAACTGCTCCTGTTTCTCTCATGCATTTTTATTGTTAAACTCCCGATGGCTTCTAGAGAAGGAGGCTTGAGAAAGGAGACCCCCTCTCTCCTCCAGCCCATCTGCTGAAATACTTGGCTAACAGAAACCCTTCGGGAAATTCTGCTTCTTCCTCACTCTGTCCGATCTGCTAGCGGATGTTCTATCACCAAGTCTTTGTTAATATTTAAGGGCAGTTATTTTTCAAGCATCTTTCACTCATGTCTTCCCAAGTCTAGATATGATTTTTTCTGGTTTGGAAGTTGTTTGACAAACTGTTTTCTGGTCTCTATATCTGTGTGTACTGGTTTTCCAGGGCTGCCATAACAAAATACCACAGACTGGGGGCTTAAGCAACGGAAATTTATTTTCTTATACTTCTGGAGGCTGGAAGTTGAAGATCAAGATGTCAGCAGGTTTGGTTTCTTTCGAGGCCTGTCTCCATGGCTTGCAGGTGCTGTCTTCTTCCTGTGTCCTCTGTGGCCTTTCTTCCCTGGGGGCGTATCCCTGGTGTCTCCATGTGTCCAAGTTTCCTCTTTTTATAAGCACACCAGTCGGATTGGACTAGCGCCCACTCTAGCTGCTTCATTTTAACTGAATTGCCTCTTTAAATTCACATTCTGAGGCACGGGGGTTATTTTAGAGAGAAGTGCTAGTGCCTGGGTACGAGTTTTTGATGGAGGTAACTCTTCTCTTAGCTCTAAGTGACATGTTCCTCCACCTTTCTCTTCTTTGTGGTTGGCATAGTGAGATTTAGAGCCAGTCTTGTGTCTTTAAATGTGATCTCTCCTTTCTTCTTGGAAGATGTCGAAACTCTGGGACGATTTCCAGGGCTCGTCCTCTCTCCCTCAACAGGGCCACTACCTCTTCCCACCGGTGTTTTTCCCCTGAGGGGCTTCAGTTTTTCCCCTTTTTCTTTTTGTCAAAAAAAAAAGATGCAGGCTGGTTGGGTAAAAAAACCCTACAGCTGTCCACCTCCTCCCAAGGGTGATGGGAGGGCACACGATGGGCTCAGGGAGACAGGCGTCTGGACAATCGGCTGGAGTCGCCCAAACGGAGGGACCACACCTTCTGAATGAAACATTGAGCCCTTTGGTCAGCCAGGTTACAGACGTGCTGGAAGTGATAACAGGACAGCCTTTGGCATGGGGGTGTCTTGGGAATCTTGGCACCCCCACGCCCGCCTCCTTTGTCATGGGGAAGCTTGAGCGGCTCAGACAGCAGGGGGCGCTGCAGGATGGACAGAAGGGACTGGGAGCCCCCTGCGGCTTTAAGGGAAGATCCAAGTTTCTGCAAAGACACCGTCTGCCGGGGGCCCACAGCCCCCTGGAGCAGCTGGGTGGGGGCTCTCAGCTGTTCCCTTTGTCACCTCCTCCACCCCGAAGCCACGAAGCTGCGTCCATCTGCCAGGCTGTGGCTGTAGTTTTCTCAGCTCATTCTGGTGGCTGGAGAGGTTTCCCGTGTNGCCCCCTGCGGCTTTAAGGGAAGATCCAAGTTTCTGCAAAGACACCGTCTACCGGGGGCCCACAGCCCCCTGGAGCAGCTGGGTGGGAGCGCTCAGCTGTCCCCTTTGTCACCTCCTCCACCCCGAAGCCACGAAGCTGCGTCCATCTGCCAGGCTGTGGCTGTAGTTTTCTCAGCTCATTCTGGTGGCTGGAGAGGTTTCCCGTGTGTGGCACTGTGTGAAGGGCCCTTTCATGGCCTTCCTCCCTCCACCCTCCAC